TGTTATATGAAGGGAAGCGGGCCGTGTTGCTTATGAGGTGAACAACACCACTGTTACATTAAACTATTCATACTAATCATTCTTGCCAAGATTAGGAAAAATGTGAACGTTGTCTACACAATGATTGCTTTGCTATGGTTGAGGTTTTTCGGTACACTAAATAAAAGCGCGATTCCATGCGCCTGAATGTAGGACAGTGCGCGCAACAAAGCCTTCATAAGTCCGCTCAGAGAAGTCTCCACAGGTATAGACAACAGGCTCTAGATCAGCGTTGGAAAGACCATTACGACTTTGGGTCCTTCTAGTTAATTAAGGCACAATACCAGACATCGTAACAAAACTGACCAGATCGCTACGTCTATCTAAACCCATAATGTAAGTTCCATCAGCATTTTGGAGAAATATGTATTCTGCTTTGAATAGTGGAGTGAAAGCTGCAAAGGCACAGCCATATTGTAGTCCTATTATAATACGTACATTTCTTCGGTTCCAAACCTTAACAAAGCGATTGAAGCGCATTCCATGCTTATCGTTGGGAGAAGACTTTTGATCACTGTGCCCCTCCGTTTGAAGAGCCCCTCCCTCTGAGGCTGGTAAGAGTACGGAATTGCCAAAGAGAACGGCACTATGGTTGGATGCCTCTGTCCATACAACCAGATCAAATCGTTCCTCCAAAAAAAGGCAGTTATGCGATCGTTCAATGCGTGCAGTTTTGACTATTCGAACACTCGGTCAGTAAACTTTGACTATCGCTTCGGAACCCAGTTTGGAGGACTCCAGTTGTTAAATGATCGTGATGAAGCCACTAACCTCTTCATATCGATCTTTCAGGCGTAGTGCAGAGTATCGATTGACTGCGATGAGCATATTTCCAACCATATAGGCCGCAAAAGATGAGCAAGCAATTATACCAGCAATCCGAATCAAAACCTCGAATCGCGGGCTTAAGCCACCGATTTCGCTCTTAATGCGAAATAAACAGCATAGTGAAATAGATGTCACGTCAGCAATTCCCTAGACGAAGATCATTCGTGTTTATCGAGCTTAGAAAGACATCTCTGTGTGTGTTCACAGCATAAATAAAGATTCAAATGAAACATTCATCAGACTTCTTCTCAGCATGACATGAGTATTGTACGATAGGAGCAGTCGGGTGTAAGAGTGGTTTGGTAGCGCCAATGGGCCTGTTTTCTAAGGAGAAGGTGAACCTATGAAACTGGCCAGTTATGGCCAACGCATATGCAGCTGATTTTCGAGCGTTGCAATATAAATGTTGAGCGCGTGCAAAAGGAATCAGCAAACAGTTTGACCTGTGTCGTCAAGAGGTGGTGGTCGGTTCTATTCAATAAACATGTATATTCATGCGCTCAACTATATTCCTTCGCAGGTAGTATAATCCTCTGCAGTTGCGGAAAGTGCTACATTATACACAAAAGGATTCTGCTCGGATAGTTCCAAAGTGTGCCTTTACGGCTCATTGAAGTACGGTCTGCCTCATTCATGGCGAGCGTCATGCTTTCTATAGAATCCATTCACTTTTTCGAACGTGCATGAATTTGCATTGTGGTGTTGGCTTCAGATTGGACTTACTCTCCTTTGCACTCCACTGAAGACGTGATGGTCACTCCGCACCTTTCATCAAGGGAATGTTTCGCTGTTCTGTATAGGGATGCAATTTGCACTTTCGCTGACTGCTCTCTCCGCTAGTTTATTCAACTAGCAGGTCCACACTGGAATCACATAAACTGAGTTTATGTGACTGAGCCACATAAAATCCTGCGATTTGGGATATGGTTCAAGTGAACCACTCTGGTTGCAGAAATTAGCAGTTTCTTTACAATTTCTGGACTGCGCATTTTCGCTCATACCATTTAGTGCCCACTTGGAAGCGGAACTGCGCCGGGAATTGTTTCAAGAAGCAGAAACGTTTTCTATCACACGGTGCTGACGTGATCTGCTTTTCCACTTCAATGACCCAGTAACCGCTCACGAACTTTTGCTTTTGGTATTTTACCACTCTTAAATGATTCATACACCTTCTTACCTGTTGCCACAAACATGGAATAGAAAGGATTTTTGAAGGCTTTCACCTCAGATGTAATAATAATGAATAGGACAAATACATAAATTGACGCAAGTAGAGCTTCTAGTATAGTTTGTGGCAACGTTGAACATAATGTCCTTTCGAACTTTTATACTTCTGAAAGAAACGCGTTGTACCAGGTCAGTTGACACTATTCTATACTTGCGACCGCTAAATGCTTTTTGCAGAAATTCTGTACTAGGAGTATAGTCAAATACTCATTGCTACAATGGTGTTTAGGTTCTGGCTTTCGCTCCATTTCGCGCTGTGATATTTCTTTGGAAAAGAAATCACAAAGAAGCTTGGTTAGTTTTAGATGTAATTTGATCACCAGGTTGCATAAGCTTACATCCGGCCAGTAATGGAGGTTCCTAAGGCCTATGCTACGACACGCTGTATCTGGGCGAGAGGCAAACATGTTTTGCAATGTGGTTCAAGACGGTCATGTACTACTACTCAAACTTCTGTGAA